TTAAACAGCCGTGTTCTTACCCACCCTCCAGAGAAAATCACCGGGGTGGCCGCCGGCTTTGGACGATAAGGGATTGTGGCACCTTTTGGTGGAGACTGGAAAAAAAAGGAAAAGAGTTGGTCTTCCATCCATCCATCTTTCTTTCTTTCCATGTGTCAATCAAACATTAAACATATATTGGACATATATATACTCCATATACCTCCAGCATGACCACACAGATCTGTTTGACACACTGGATGATGGCTTCTGGTGTCCCGGAGATTGTCACCGCACGCTCGGTGGAGTTGGGCAGCATGTCCCCGGCTACCTGCACCTGGGCTCCTGTGGACTGGAGCAGACGGGACAGGGAACCAGTGACCTTTCAGCTGTAAGGCAAGAGTGCTGACCATTTGTCATCTTCACATGTATTAGAATGCCAAAGCAGAGCAGCGGTTTCACACCACCTCTCTCATCTCTTTTATTTTGGAGCCGCCCTTTCCTATGAGCGAGCCACACTGACTGGCTGGTACGATGAGCCTCAAGGTGACGGGCGGCTTGCTGGTGGCTGTGCTGTTGCTCATGGAGTTGATAATGTCCTGGGAAAACAAGAAAACAAAATATATAATATATAATAATATCAGCCTGATATTAGCATAATTATGTAACATCTGTAAGAATTGTTATTGTTTTTTCCTCCAATAATGAAATGATGCAATGACTAGGTTTCACCAAATGATGTGTGATCTAAAAATAGTTTTGGGGAAAAACAGCTGCATATGAAAGTGAAAGTCTCTAGATGGCAGCATGCACCTGCTGGACTAAACAAACATTGATTTTTACACGTAGTTGAAGAAGGATTTTCTATATTTGAGACCAAAGGTAAAACCCTGAGTCTGGTGGCACCTCTTCAAATTTGTAGGCGATCATGGCGAAAGCCTTGAAAATGGTGTCGGTGTGTCCAGTGATGGTGACGATCCTCTCTGGACAGTTGCCCTCGGAGATGTTGATCCGTGACCCGCTCTGGAGGAGCAGAACAGTATTTGGGTCAGAACCATTTTATATATTCAACATGATTTTACGTTTACATACAGTACCAGTTCTTATGGTACTCACCTCTTCACGCATTTTTTTCACTGTCTCCCCCTTCTGGAAAAAGAAAGGTAAAGCAATTTCACTTCATAGGTCTAAAAAACATTATTTATATATTGCAAATATTGTTTCACTGTTTGTTAATACGGGACAGGGAGAGCAATTAAATACTTGTCCACTAGGTGGCAGCAGATGGCTAAGAAAACTAAAACAAAAGATAGTCAGAGCTGTTGAAGAAGAGATCTTAGAGAGTGTCTTTCTTCAATTCCTGCCAGTATATGCGTGTTCTTTTCAACTAAACAGGCTGAGATTTTAGTGAATTGTGAGTATATTTAAACTAGAACATTTTTCATTATTATTTTAATTATTTTATTTATTTTATTACATATACTTTTTGTTTGGTGGTGTGCTGTGGCTCAAAAACAGTTGGGAAACACTGATGTACAGCAAAAAACAGTTGGGAAACACTGATGTATAGCACATACTTCATGTACTACAGATGTACATACCTTTCCTATTATACTTCCCACCTCCTGCAAATGAACAGACGATATATATAGTTACAAAACATTTATGTAAATGTACATTTTCATTCTTGTGTTACAGAGAAGGTTTTGTCTATTACGAGGTTTACGGTACAGACTGAAGTCTAGTGCTCTCTGTGAGTCTGGATCTGCGGTGGAGTTCTTACTTTTCCGTGCATGAGAAGACGGATGGTGAGGGTGACGTTGAGACCCCCATCCGACTGGACCTTGATGGGCTCCATGGTGGACCAGGTGAGTCCGGTCCTGGAATAAGGGTTTGGTCAGAAGAGAGTAAGGAGTGTGACGTTCCAGCCAACCAATCAGGTGCCATCCACAGAACGACACACCTTTAAGTCACACTTCGCCTGTAACCACCTGAGGAAAAGGTTAACAAATACGTCAAATCATCAGGAACACCAGCTGTGAGTGGACACGTGTCACATGGTAACGACTGTTATCTCACCAGGTTTCTGCTTGAGTGTGAGTGCCGTGAACATAGGACACACGCTGCTCAGTTCATCTTTTCATCTTCAACGTTTTGACTTTCCTTTTGGTGAACTGCCGGCCCACGCTGCAGACAGAAGAGAAAAAAACTGATGAATGTGTATAAAATTAAAAAAAAAAATCAAGAATGATGATTTCTTGAATGAAAACCATTTCAAATTATACACACATATGTATTTATGAATATATAAATACATATATGTATATTTATATATTCATAAAAACATATCTACGCGTGTATATACCATATATATATTTTTATATACATTCATACATAGTGTACATATATACTGTATATGTATATATATTTGGGGCTGTTCCCATTGATCATTTCAGTCGAGGTCATTTATTTACATTGTGTTTTTTCGACCACAATGTTCTTTATAAAGACTTTTCCGCACGTTCTGTTTCTTACGTTGAATCAATAAATTCTCAGGCCGTCAGCACCGACGCCTTTCTTCCTAAATATAGTCACACATCACTCATGTCACAATTGTTAAGAACAAAAGAAAATGGCGTCTGACCAAAGAGCAATCCCAGAGGTCTTCTGGGTTTTTTTCTTCCAGGTCATGTGACCTGTGGCCGGCAGCTGTCCAGCAGAATGAGAGTCAGATGGGTTTTTTTTTTTGTTTGTTTTTATGGTTGCACCTGAGGAGATCAGAAGGTGAAGACAACAAAGTCAATCACAGCGACAGCCACCTGGTGGCAGTGTTGTTGAACAGGTGTCAGTGTGTTTCCTCTTCTGCCCCCCCCGCACCCCCCCCAGTCAGCCGGTGAACACATCAGACAGAACAGTGTAATGATCTGTATTTACTGATGAGGGGAAAAACAATGGCCGTCTACTCTCACAGCACTGACGTCATCAATACTGATGACAACGACGTTAGCATTTCTGGGAAAAGTTTGTTTTCTCCGTGTCAGCAGTAAAAAACAGGAAAAAAACGTTGTTTTTTGTTTTGTGGGGGGTGGAGGTTGGGGGGGTCTGTACGAGCCTGTCTTAAACTTTTGTACAGTGTCGTAAAGGAAAAATTAAAATACGTACTATATGCTATTTACTAGCAAGTGCTGCAACCGTTGAAAAAACTATAGTTGACCACAGTGACCACTGACTGACAAACTGTAGAAAAGAAGCTAAAATGTTTATAATTAATTTCCTAATAATATAGAGCAGTAAATCACAAACATACTGTAGTTAAACTGTGTCAAACTTACACTGGACTTCGGTCTGTGAAGTACCGGAAATGGACCAACGTACAATGAACTTCATTAGCGATTTGTGTTGTAGCGGATTTAATAGAATCACTTTGACTTACGTCACTGCTCCTCACCAACAGGCGCGTCAGAGCCAATCAGATACGAAGCTTCTATCGGTGGATCTGCCACAAACAGAGAATAAATGTCGTTAAAATGACGGAAGTTTCCAACTGCGGGGCGACGTCATTAGAACACAGACACAGGTGTGAGTGTTAAGTGCAGTGGAACTGCTATTGAAAGCGACGACTGCCCTCTGCTGGCGCTTTATATAACACAGCTCACCCAGAGGAATTGAATCATTTTCTACAGTTTAATTATTTTTAGGTTCTTGGGGTCAGGGGTCACGGTTAAAGACCAACAATTCACACTCATATTTACAGAAAGACCGGGAATCGAACCGATGTAAAGAGGTTAACACACAAATGAGAACACGCACGTGGGTTAAGTAAGAAAAAAACAATTACGTCATAATCTTCTGTTGTTGTCTGTATGTACTGTATATCTACACTGAAAGTGTAGTTCTAAAAATGGACAGAGAAGGGCAGCAGAGAATCGTCTATAAAACCTGAACCTTTGGATCGTGGGATTATTTATGAACATGACAGAAACAATGACAACTGCTGCGGTGGGTCATCAGTCATTCAAAGAAAGAAATTAGCAGAAACAATGACAACTGCTGCGGTGGGCCATCAATCAGTCAAATAAAGAAAATTACATAAATAAAAAACCCAGACGTTCTCTCTCTCACACACACCTGCAGTGCACACACAGCAAAACGGCCACAAATGCATTAGCGAGCATAAATACACACACGCACGTGCACGCGCACACACATATTTTATGGCTGTAAACAGGAACAGCTCTTCACTGGTCACTTCAACACAAAGGCCAATCCGAGGAGCTTTAGCGCCCCCTGTCAATCGCCGCTTTGCTGAAACGCTGGCTCAGTCAACTCTACATTCATAAAAACGAACGTCTCATCACTCAGGTGTCAGTCGTTAAAAGCCTTTGCTTTGAGGAGTGTGTGTGCGTGTGTGTGTGTGTGTGTGTCAGTCGTGTGGAGGATTTAGTCGGTGTGTTTACTGCAGAGTGTGCAGCAGCCTCCCTGACTGCTGCATTCTGGGATTTATGAGGTGTTTCTGTCGGAAAAACTCACAGAGTAAGAGAACAACGTCTGGAAAGTTCAGCACAAATTCTACAGTCACAACATCAGAAGAGTTTATGTTAAAATAAATAAATAAATAAAAATCCCCGGTGAAATGTTGCTGAACATTTGTTGCTCACAACTTCATGACTCAGCCTGGAACGTCGATCCTCAAAAAACAAAACAAAACAAACAAAAAAATCTATTAATTAACAAATCTGAGAAGTCATTTCTCATCTCTGGTATGGAGTGGGTGGGGGGGGGTTATTGAGGGTACTGGTCCATGGGTCATTTGGTACCCGGCCTCTGCGATTCAAACAAAATCCTGCCTTTTTTTTCAAAATTATTTTCTTCATTTAAAGATAATCCAATAATATTTCAAAATACTGCGTTTTTAAGACTCGAATACTACCAGGATGAAGTCTAAAATAATTTTTCATTTTTAAAAAATTCACCGAGTCTTGACGATATCAATATCCGTCAGCTTCACAGATGTATAAACAGGAAGTAGTCACAATAACCGCCAATCATCTCCATGGACTTTTCAGCTCCTGCCAGTGTTTTTATAGATCTGTGATCGGCTCACCGCTAGAGTAGACGCGTACGTGTTGGCTTTATATTATTGGAGCCACGACCGAGGAGAGGCAGAGAGAAAAAAAAGTTTGGGGACCGGGGAGGTGTTCCCTAAAGTTGTAGATCAGTCTCAGTAACTGCTGACGCTCCCTAAACCGTCACTAACTGATGGGCGGAGCATCATGACGTTTATTATGAGCTGAGCAGGTATTTTATGTTGGCAGGGTATTTTTTCCATTGACCCCTTCACCGAGGGTCCGTCCAGTGGCCGGGGCTCTGTGACCTTCTGAGGTCAGTTCTCTGATTGGACAGTCCACGCCTGCATGAGCAGCAGGCCAGCCACGACAAGGCAATCAAGGCGTCAACCGGAGGGGGTGGGGGGCGGGAGGGGGCTCCGCCTGAAGTATATCTCAGTGCTGGATGGCAGGTATTC